CCCCTACCGCATCCCAAAACCAGCCCAGCTCGTCCCCGCCTCCCTAATCTGTTCTTCCTCCCACCTATCCCCTCCTCCCACCTCAAGCCGCACCCCCATCTCCTACCTACTAACCTCATCCCATCCCCTTGACCTGTCCGTCCTCCCTGGACTGACCTATCCCCTCCCTAACTCCCCACCTACACTCACCTTTACTGGCTCCATCCCCACCTTTTTGACCTGTTTGTTTCCTCTCCACCTATCCTCTCCTCTATCCATCTTCTATCTGCCTCCTCCTCTCTCCCTATTTATTTCAGAACCCCCTTCCCCTCCCCCATTTCTGATGAAGGGTCTAGGCCCGAAACGTCAGCCTTTCTGCTCCTATGATGCTGCTTAGCCTGCTGTGTTCATCCAGCTCTGCACCTTGTTGTCTCAAATAATTATTTGCCCTTTTTGCTACCCAAAGTGGATAACCTTATATTTATCTACATTAAACTGTATCTGCCACGCATTTTCCAACTCACACAGCCTGTTCAAATCACACTGCTACATCTCTTCATCTTCCTCACAGCTCAGCCACTCAGCTTTGTGTCATCTGCAAACTTTGAAATGCTACATTTGGTTGCCTCATCTAAATCATTAATGTATATTGTGAATAGCTGTGATGCTAGGCCCAGTCCCTGCGGTGCCCCACTCGTCACTGCCTACTGGTCAAAGGAAAGCCCATTTATTCCTCCTCTTTGTTTCCTACCTGCTAACCAAGTCTCTGTCCATTTGCAAACACAACTTCCAATCTGGTCTATCGAGGCCGTTCTGACATTCAATGAGAACATGGCAAAACTTATCATCCTCAATTCGACTTTATTGCTTTGTCCCCATGAACCTGACTCTCGAAATCTGTATGTGCCAATTTTCTTCGGATCCCTACAGTGCAGAAGGTGGCCATTCAGCCCATTGAGTCTGCACTTACCATCCAAAGAGCATCCCACCCAGACCTAGCCCCCTACCCCATCCCAGAGCTCCATATTCCGCATGGTGAATCCAACTAGCCTACATATCCCTGAAGGCTATGGACAATTTCAACCTGACCAATCCACCTAACCTGCACTGTGGGAGTAAGCCAGAGTGCCCAGAGGAAACCCGCACAGACAGGGGGAGAATGTGCAAACTCCACAGACAGTTACCTGAGGCTGGAATCGAACCTGGGTCCTTCCGCTATGAGATCGGTCTGAATATACTTAGCAACCCACCGTCAACAGCCCATTGTGACAAAGAGCTCCACACACTCACCACCCTCTGAGAGAAAAAAAAAACACCCTAATCTCTGTTTTAAATGAGTGGCACCTTACCCTGAGTTGATGCTCCCTGGTCCTAGATTCTCCCAGAAAGGGAAACAATCTCTCAGCATCTAAATTCTCAAATCCCCATCCTGAGAATATATTACGTATTAAAATTTTAAGAATTAAAAAAATGTGTTTAGTCCCTTTTCTGTATAAAATACAACTACTGTGCATTTCTTTAATCCTTCCGCAGGATGTGGGAGTGCTTCCAGCATTTTTTTTCTGTTTTTTTTATTCATTCACGGAATGTGGGTTTTGCTGGCTAGGCCAGCGTATGTTGCTCATTCCAGACAGTAGTTAAGAGTCAACCACATTGCTGTGGGTCTAGAGTTATGTGGATACCAGACTGGATAAGGATGGCAGTTTCCTTCCCTAAAGGACATTAGTGAACCAGATGAGTTTCTCCTAACAATCGACAATAGTTTCATGGTCATCATTAGACTCCTAATTCCATATTTTTAATTGAATTCAAATTCCAACATCTGTAATGGCAGGATTTGAACTCTGATCCTCAGAACATTACCTGGGTTAATAGTTTAGTGATATTACCATGAAGCCAACATTTCCCAATTGTTGCCCATCTCTATATGCCCTTTAGAAGCACTGCCTTCTTGAGCTGGTACAATCCAAGAATTGTAAGTACTCTCACAGAATGAGAGTGTGTTGACTACTTTCTTCAACCTGGAATTGCATTTGTCCTGGTTATTTTTCTTCAATAATATCCGACGACAAGAACTGACTTCACCAGCAAGTTCAACGGCACACCTTTTCTAATTAAGCCCCTAAGTGTTGTCGCACTATGAGCAAACATCATTTCCCTTCTTAGAGAAGCACAACTGATAAAGAACTAAACCATAAAACCTAAGAATGTATAATTGAA